TCTATTCTCCCGAATAGCAGGTGAATAGAAACACAAAAGTTATTTTTATTTAATATTTATATGCATATTTTTCAAAAATCAAATTATATGTATACGCAAAGAACAAACAAAGACCCATGTTTTAAAATATTCGGGAACATAATACCACATTTTTATCAACTGGTATATCGCTAATAGCCTACGAAACTGTTTCTATTCACCCACGTTTTACAGAAGACCTGTTTGTGTGTTTTATTTTGAAACTCTGTCGCTTAGGACATTATGTTTCTCGTAATTTATTCAAAATTTAAAATGTTTAATGTGCCAAACCATAGGATTATTAGGATGTAACCTAAGTAGATCGACGCAGAAAAATTCGAAGGTATAAATAACTCAATTTCCACAAAAGTGGCGTATTAGCCATTTCTCCTTTCAACCGTCGCCGTCGATATAGACATTGACACTAAAGTCTATAAACCATATGTATAAACCAGGCTAAATGAAATTTTGGCAAAAATGTTTAAATTTGTTGTATAATTGAAGATACCGAGCAGTTCTTCATTTTACTTTATAGAGCAAATGATTATAACAGATATTTTATTTAGATTAAAGCTGCAAAAATTAGTTTAAACCAAATGTTATTATCTCTATGTTGGTCACATTGCGCCGTGTTCAGCAACGTTGTCGTTTATTATTTGACAATTATCCTAATGTCAGTCATTATTTTGTAGGTATAATATCGCGTTGTTGCCTTTTTGTGAGTAATTCTCGTTTTTTCTTGCCTATTTTCATAGCCTTTTTTAAAAATTGTTCTTTTAAGCGCAAACAGTTCTTTGAAGAACTAAACTTTCTACTTTTTTTGTATTGCATTTCTTCAAATTTGTGTGTTGAAAATATGCCTAAGCATTTAAACAGTCGAATCAAAGAGCTTGTAGCTTTCCTGATAAACTATTTTAAATGAGAACGTGACAATAAAGGTCCTTTATTACTCTTGACTGCAGTCAGAGAAGTAAGTTTGATTGATAAGCACATTATACCACATTCAAAGTTATTTCTACGTTAGTCTTATTAAATTCTGTGATTATTAGTTTGTGCATTAATAGCACCCTCTTACTTGTTATTACCACTTATGACATTGTAAGATGCAGATCAATAAATAACCCATAATAACGCTTAGAATAATCTTCATAATGGACTAGTTTTTGCCAATATGTTATAAGTAAAATAAGCTATAAAACAAATAAATCAATTAATTACTAAAATATTAGTTATTAAATTAAAGATAAAATCAAAAAATCTTTCAAAATTGATATAAATATATTGTTTATCAATTTTAAATTAAGATTCTTCGAGGCCTTCTACATTCCAAGTTTCATTCCCCTAGCTCACATAGGGCTCGAGTTACAACGCTCCAAGATCGTTACCACTTTTCACATCCCGCGTCTCATGTGTCATGGCCCTGTCACGGCCTTCAGTTTTTACTCCCATCACGCGTAAAGAAGTCAAAATTAATCATGTTTTATTTGGAAATTTGGAAAAGTATAAACGGGATTAACCATTATAAGGCAAGCAAATATTTTCTATTCTAAACGATATTATTTTTTTGTGAATTTTTCAAAATGCCTTTGCCATTTTGTCAATAATGTGTTTATACTTTATTATAATTAAATTACAATTTAAAATTGTAATTTAATTATAATTAATGTATTATTATTGCACTAGCAGATGTTTTAATGGGCTATTGATATACCTACTTAATATTTATATTAAAATTATTTTTCAGATATTGTCTGGTATTACATTAACCAAATTCTCAGGGATACTCGTTCTGGCTTTCTCCAAATCCCAGGTTTTCCAAATATTCTACTTTCGAATGTATTTAGGTATAGTTCTTATAGGAGCCGCTCATGGTTTGATATTTTTACCGGCATTCTTAAGTTTTATAGGTAAATTTTAAGTTATTTTCTTATATATTATAATATATTACTTTTAATTTTAACCAATTTTAGGTTATTTAAAATATCCATCTAGAGATTGAGGAGTTGTAATCTACTAACAAAAAAAACACGGGTTAAAAAGCATTATAAGTACAATGTTAAACGTAAGATTAAGGAAATGTTTTCAACAATGGGTTTTTCTTTATAAAATATTTAGTTATGTTAGGCTAAACGTAGAGAAAGAACATATTATCAAACACTATCTTTGTGTCTTATTAAAATCATGTTAAAATCTAATAGAGATTAATTAATAAATCATTAATAAATAGCCAAGTTGCCGCTTTTTTAAACTCAGTTATAGCCACCGATATTATATGTTGTTAGCGCCAAATCATGACACTCCGGATAGTGCTAGCAGCTAACGCCTCTAAATTAATTGATAAAAGAAGACACTAACCTATAACATTGATCTGTGGGTAAACGTCAGATGTCGAATTATGTCAATTATCAGATGACAACGAAAATCTTTGATGTGTGTGGTATTTTTCGAGATTTTTACGGTGAAAATTAGTGTTTTTATTCAAATTTACATTAGAATTAAAAATATATTGCTTAAATTTGTGGTTCCCGAAGTGATATATACCGATGTAAGTACCGCATGTTTTATTTAATATCGAATTTAAGTGATAAAATTATTTCTTTTTCTTGAACTTTTATAATATTTTAATTTAAATTAATGGATTATTAAAATAAGAAAAAACATATTATTATAAGTAGATTAAAGGGGGCCTTCATATGCAAACGTTTAAGATAATTATTCAATTAGTATTATTAGAAGATATTTGTAGTAATGGTGTGAGGAATTGACCTTTTAATTATAGATCAATGAAATCTCGTTGATACCTGCTTAGATATGTTTAAACAAATTTAAATAAGCACAGATTTGACACTTATTTTTATTTTTAGTTTTTGTATGGAATAAATCACCTTGAATTATGTCTTGTTTACACATGTATATGTCAGGAATTACATATAAATAACAATGCCACTTATAAAATACCTGCTGATTTATATTGTTTTATATTTCTTTTAAATATTTGCTGATTATTAAATAAATAATTTCACGAAGCTAACAAATTGCTCCTTGCGCCCGATTTTATTAAATAATTGCTATTGTAATTTGCACCATAATATGACTAATCATTAAGCTATATTTAATCAGTAATTATTCAAGTAGAAATTTGATTTATTTATAAATAACAGATAAAGAAAGTGTTTACAATGCAATGTTATATTTCTGAATGGTTCTAATAATGACATAAATTAATAAAAAAAATGGTAGGTGTATATTTATTATTTTGTACTTTACCGTACTTTCTATTGAATTTTTCCATTAACATTATTGAAGGCATTATACCTATCAATAACGATGTTCGAAAGCATCTAATTTTAAAAGAAGTAGGCTGTGACATCAACAATAAACAATAGAAACCCGATGCAATAAAAAAAAATCGTTTGTTCTATTTCATGTTTTGTCAGTTGAAAAAAAACAACCAACCTGTTGTTTTCAGTAGCATATGGCTATGGAAAAGTGTAGATAAAATCTTGAAACAGCATATTCATTTGAAATAACCCCTTTATTTAGTTATTGTTGCACATACAACCCCACAGGACTCAAGGGTGGTAACGTGTAACGATTAGGGTATATTGCAGTGTTGCCAGACCTGGTCTATAAAAATCCCGGATTGTCTTTACAAGAGGAAAAACTTTTTTATTATTGAAATTTTGAGAAAAATTAATTCTTCATAAAAAATTTTGTTTGTTTTTAAATGGTTAATCCCATTTATACTTTTCCAAATTTCCATACCGTTTTAGAGAGAATGAAAATATGCATTTTTCTCAAAATGTCAGTAATAAAAAAAGTTTTCCTCTTGTAAAGAAAATCCGGGAACATAATATACTGTAGATTAAACTTTGTTTAATCTTCATAACAGTTAGTTTTAATCTAAAAACACACGTTGTTTGTAAAGATATTAACTTTTTATGATCATGTTAATATTTACAGGAGTAAAAAAAAAATAAACAAAGTGAAGATAATAAAGTACTCTGCAGTAGAGTTAAAAGAAGTTTGAAGTGCATTATGTGTTATTTCAAAGAAAATACTTATTATTTTCTATTTTGTATAGTACGCTTAAAGGTGTTTTTAATAATTAAATGTACAGGGTGGGCCAAATTGGACACTTTTAAAGGGAAACACCCTTTTCTATAGGAGATAGACGAAAACTAATATCGGTGTCTGGAGCTCAATTTTTATTAAAAACACGATGGAAAAAACCGCACATCGATATCTGTTACTGATTCGGAGTTACGGGGTGTTTTTCAAAAACGGTCATTTTTAACAAATCCCTGTAACTTTTTTGCTATGGCTAATTTTGTATTTTTATGAAAAAATTTCCAAAGCACCTTTTTACGTAGAATTTAATGGTTTAAGTATATTTTTTTTAAATTAATAATTTAGGAGTTATCAACAGAAAAATTGTTTTTTTTTATTTGGGACACCCTGTATATTTTTAATTCACTGTAAAGAACTTAAAATTACCTTTCCAAAAATATAGCACACTTGATATTTTGTTTGAATCCATTTCCAAATACAGAATTTTTATAAGTTCGCCACTTTTAACTAGCAGGCTCCGGATTTTTTATTGATGATCTCCAAATGAAAATTTTTTCGAGCAAAACGAGGCACCGCCTCACAACGTTGAAATTATCAGCAATTTTTTGCAGCTAATTTCGAGAATAATTGTATAGCTAACTAAGGTCCCAGCCGTTGGCCGTCCAGGGCGCCGGATTTAGCTCCTATGTTTTTTTTATCTTTAGGGAAGATTTAAGGTTCTTATTTTTAAATTGGCTATATACTCTGGACAATAGTTTATAATATAGAATATCTTAGCGGTTATGCGAGGGTATTTTTCACCCCTATACTGCGTTAATGACAACTTTTGATTTTTAAATGACACCCTCGGTATATTTCGACTTTACTCAATAGAAAATGACACTCTCAATAAAACGACATTTCATATGTCAACTTTAGACATTTTAGCTCAAAAAAATCGTATTTTAAATTTCAATCTGGAGTGCCATGGCTGTGTTAAAAATACTAATTTGTAATCAAGGAGCCTTGGAGAAATATATTTGATCGTCTAATGTTTTTCGTGTCTTGTTCTGCCTTGCCCAAATCGTATTTTTGATCAAATCTCAATTTTTTCAAATGGAACAAGGGTGGCTCATTAGCGTATTTGGAAAAAGCAATTTTTTGCGAATATTTTGGTACCACACACTTGGTATTTCGTGTCAAATTATCGTTATGAACCGCATGTTGCAATTTTAAATAAACCATATGCGAAAGTGTTACAAATTGACATATGATATGTCATTCTATTCAGAGTGTCATTTGTTATCGAGTAAAGTAAAAAAATACCGAGAATGTCATTTAATAATCAAAAGTTGTAGTTATTTCCGGTGAAACAGGAAGCAACCAAAAATAATTGAATACGTCAATCAATCCTAATTTAGGTCATATACTAACATACCAAATCTTGTTGTTTTATCTGAAAAAATAATACATTTATAGGTGTGAGCCACTTTTCAGACGCACCCAGTATAGGTTAAATTGTTATAAAATTTTTATAGCGCACTGTCTAGAAAATGTATCCTCCAAAATTCTCCGAATTTACTAAAACTACCGAAATCCGACAACGCCGACGGACGCAAGCGCCGCGCTTCTCCGGAGAAGTCTGCAATTTCGCAAACAGTTTTCCGGAACAAGACTAACCGGAACCAGTTTTTCCGGATAACACGTTGCAAAATATGGAAAATCGTCCGTCAGAAATCCTTTACCGTCCCCAGACAGCATTAAGCCTGTTAATTAGCCTGTTAAAATAGACTTTCTTCTCGAATTAGGGATAAAATGAGCGAATTCCTGTCGGCTTTTCGCGTACTGTGGCATTTTTGGCACTATCATCCCGAATTGTGGAAGAATATATTGCGCTAAAGGTCCAGAACGATTGCTCATGTATCGTAAACCGGTCTACAGAATTTTCCAGTACCTCGAAACGTAAGTAATAAAGTTATTGTTTTATTTCTTGGATGCGACATGTACTATATCAATAAATGCCATATCGAAATAGCGGAAATAAACGTTTGGATAGACCTGGATAGACAGAACCAGTGGCGTGTTTTCGGGGGAGTAAATACAGGGTTGTTCACCTCATTCGACAGAGAGTATTATTGTAGCCAAATGATTGGATTTTTAGAAATTCTGAGTGATGGGATCGTCGGAGGAGAGTTAAGTTTGAGGACTACAAGAAGTTACAGAGTATCGCAAAGAAATTAAAAATATCAAAGTTGTATTTTTTTAAATGGAACACCCAGTATATTATTACATTTTTAGTTTCTACGGTTAAAATAAAGGTAAATTTGATTACGGTTTACCGCACTTTAATCTGCCATACTACTACTACTACTACTACTACTGCCATTACTCGCTGACGAGTATTTGACACGCATCAAAAGATACGCAAGGCACTCCGAACTTTTGCATAATTGCCCCAAAGTGCCTCTCTGTTTACAAGAGGCGAGAAGGCTTTCATTTAGGTCGATGAATGCAACATAAAAGTTTACTCTGCTGTTCCTTTACTTTTTCCTGTAGTTGGCGGGCTAGGAGAATATGGAATCACACTTGGTACCGCAGTTGGTGCGAAAGCCGTTTGCGATCTCTGGGAGGATTTTTTTCTATATGTGGTGAAGGCGGTTTGATATAATTTTTTGTGAGAACTTCTCTGCCATAATATAATAATTACTAGCGTGTACCAGCGGCTTCGTTCGCGTCGAATTAATCATTTGTAATGTTGATGATAAAGTAAAGCAAGAATTTCCATTAACATACAAACTGGATAAAATGTTCTCACATTTATGTTAGCATGAGAAAAAACAATATGGCGATATTATTATATAACTTGGTAATATTTCACGGGTAGTTTCATCTCGTTGGAATTTGACTTTCGAAAAATCCGTTTGCCAAAAATAAACTTTTTACGTCAAGCAGTTTAAGCAGAATCGTGGTTAAGAAATTACCCAACTTTTTGGAACACCCTGTATGATTTTTTTAAAAATTTCAAAATATGTCAAAAACCAAATAAATTATGCTTGTCTAAGCGTTTTCCCGAAAGACGAACCGTTTTTTAAATAACAAATATTGTAATATTTGAGGGGCGTTTTCACCCTCTTGGAATTTGAGATTCGAGAAACCCCTCCTTCGAATCTCTACACCTCACCGTCAATCCGTTTGCCAAAAATCAGCTTTAAACGTCAAGCAGTTTAAGCAGAATCGTGATTACTCAATGGTCATATTTTATGAAACACCCTGTATAAATTTATTAAAAATCTTAAAATATGTAAAACAACAAAATAAAATATACGTGTTTAAGAGTTTTTCCGAAAAACTCACCGGTTTTTAAATAAAAAATATTTTAATATTTGAGGGATAGTTTCACCCCCTTAGAATTCGAGTTTCGAAAAATCCCTTCTTATCGAACCTCTAAACCCTAGAATCAACCTGTATGCCAAAATTGAGCTTCTTACGTTGAGTGGTTTGAGCAGGATCGTCATTAATCAGTATGTCAGTCACTTATGGATTTTATATATTAGTATAGATATTACCATATTTAGGAAAAATTCAACCATATTTTCATGTTTTTTCTAATATTCTCTAAAACAGTTTGGAAATTTGAAAAAGTATAAACGGGATTAACCATTTTATAACAAGCAAAAAATGCAAAAAAGCAAAAAAAAAAACATGAATTTTTCTCAACATGCCAATAATAAAAAAAGTTTTTCCTCTTGTAAAGACAATCCGGGGACATACTGTATATGTAGATACTAAATTTATTAGGGAAATTCATATCCAAAGACATAATTTATATAATTTGCCTGCTTTAGACATGTAATTAAATAAATATTTTATGTACAAAATATACTCTTAGTAAAAAAAAGTTGAAAGATAAGAATCGATAAGTACAAGTTAAAGTTCTTTTTGTGGTGCTTTTGTTTTAAAAAAAACTCAGTTTTACGACGGTGAAGTTTTATTGACACATTAGCAATATACTCTTGGAACGTACCAACAAAGACTTAAAAGGTACGCCCAAGCAATGGAGAATTTATAAGTTTTAACTGCTGACACTTCACAGTGCATTCTGGAAATGTCAAGATTAAGAGTATACATTATTAAGAGGGCATAATCATATTAATAGGTGGATATAACATACAGACAATGTAGATAACATTCTAAACCTAGCGCTTGGTATATACTAGGCGCCAAGTTAGAGGCACATACAGGCATTGGCGTAACAACAGTGGTGTCCGGGGGTGCCGGCCCAGAGCCTTAACAAGACAGGATCGGTCTAAGCCTTAGGCAGATTTCTTTCAGATCGGGCTAAGCCTTAGGCAGATATTTTTTTAATAAAAAGTTTATTTAAATACATCAATGTCTAAAAATTACCAGAAAAAAGTTTTTAAAAATTTTCTTCTAATTATAAAATAGGTAAAATACAGGAAATTTGGTGATTTTTCACAAGATCTGTATTTTTTTGTGAAGTTGGAGGAATATGAAGGTTTTTTAAAGCTCCGTTTGAGAAACTCGCTCGAAAATTTCTGGCAAAACAGGCCACTAGTCTAGAAATGACCTTTTTGGAACGGGGTGCGCTTTGTTGTCTGTGAAGAATGACAACTTCACTTAGAACGAAGCTAAATACAGGGTGGCGCCTCTCATACGCCGCGGAAGCTCCAAGGAGAACGATAGTTTATATCGAAATCAAATTTTGGCAGCAGTAGAGTAATTCAAAGCACTTTTTAAAAATATAGAGAATTATACAGGGTGTCCCCAAAAAAATGTACACATCAAAATTGTGTTTTTTCTAAAGGAACGCCCTATACATTAATTGAGTTTCGGATTCTCGAGAAAAAATAAAGGTGAGTTTTATTAAAGAAGCATATACCTAAAATCTAAGGATTCTGACATATTTCACATTTTGTGAAAATGAAGAGTAAATTTTAAATTTCGATAACAGCTACCTAAATTTTAGTTGACCTCGTATAGCCTGATATTTAATTACAGTAACCATTGTATGTTAAACCAAATTGAAATTTGACCCGAAAAGTTATACAGGGTGAGACAAAATTAATATAGAACATTAGTCACTTTTAAAAGCAAGTTACTCCTTTATTTTAAATGGAACACACAGTATATTTTTCCGGTGTTTAATGGGAAATTTATATATCTTCAAAATATTATTAAGGATACCTACCCCTCAGACAAAAATTTTCCTAGATATTTTAATTTTTATGATTTTGCGTCAGTAGATCTTTATTTATTGAAAAAATATAGGGGTGGCTATGTGATACACCTTTTGTTAATTTAACAAAAATTAAAATACTCAACGGTAATAAAAAGATACACGCTTAAAACATATTTTCATTATTACAGAATTAAAACTAGATGTAAACCTATAATTATATGACAAAAATTAGGTAGATTGATTCAAATGCTCAAAATGCTTCCTTTCCTGTTAACTGCATAAAATGATTGTCTTTTCAAAAGGATCTTTTCATTTTAAAAGGCATGTTATGTGGAGTTCTACCTCGAAAAGCAGCTACAATAATTTCTCTCGTGTTGTCGACAATAGTTGGTCGAGTTTTGTAAACACTGTCTTTAACATGTCCTTATAAAAAAACTAGACTAGATAAAATCAGGAGCATTTAAGTATTTTATCAGCAAACTGAATTATATCAATTCTGTGACGTAAGATAAGTTTGCATTTTCGGCAAATTTCTGAGAAGAGCACCTAGATTTTATCAAATAATAAAGATCTATTCAGATCAAATCATGCAAATGAAAATATCTAGGAAAATTTTTGTTTGAGGGGTAGGCAATCTTAATAGGATTTTGAAGAGACATGAATTCTCCATTGAATATCGGAATAATATACTGGGTGTTTCATTTAAGATAAAAGAGTAACATGCTTTTAAAGGTGACCAGTGTTCAATATTAATTTTGTCTCACCCTGTATACATTTTTGGATCAAGTTTTAATTTGATTTAAAGTACAATAGTTAATTTAACTACACATTAGGCTATACCGGGTAAATTCCAATTTAGGTAGCTTTTATTTTAATTTAAAAATTGTTCTTTATTTCTAGAAAATTTTAAATATGTCAAAAACCTTACATTTTAGTCTGATACTTCTCTTATAAAACTGACCTTTATTTTTCTCCTAGGATCCGAAAATCAATTAATACATAGGGTGTTCCATTACAAAAAACACAACTTTGATACGTAACTTTTTCGGGGACACCCCGTAGAACTCTCTATATTTTGAAAAATACTCTGAATTAACTTACATATGCTCACAAAATTTCAATTCAACACAAACTGTCGTTCTCCTTGGAGCCTCCGCGGTGTATGAGGGGCGCCACCCTGTATATCTAGGGTTGCATATAATTTATCTGATTTCCTGAATCGAACAGTACATTATTCCCCCGCCCATCATAATTGCAATCAATCAGCTTTTTTATCGTCCAAAGCCCGACAATGCATAATAATCCGTATTTATTTTACCGATAGCGAGAAACTTATACATCACTTAAGATAAAATAAGCAAAGATGCAACAAGCGCTATCAATTTAAATCTATACTTTTCAGTACGCTTTAAAGTGTGTTTTACGGGAACTATTTCACAAATACAAAGATAAAAATGCTTCTGTTTCATTTAAAATGGGGATCAGTACGTTTTTAAATTATTCTAATTAGGAAGCAAGCTGCTCTTGCTGGCGGGTCCATCAAAATAATTGCTTTTATCGCGCTGTATGTTTCCCTAGACTTTCCGGTACCAAATGAGTTTTATTGTGTGGTGTGGCCGAGATAAGGCCCTCGTCGGGTCTAGGACTAGTGCTAAATCAATGTTCTTCTACGAGAAATTTAGGTAACGTTGTTTGTGTATATACATTGTTTTAGATAAGAGAGACAGAGTAAACATACTCTGCAAGTTTAAGGACTGGACAGGTTAGGTGAGAAGAATTTTGATAATAATAAATTTGGAACCTGACTTTAAACTATTTTAAGCCATAAAATTAAAATAAACAAATATACTGGGTGCGTCTCAAAAGTGGCTCACCCCTAAAACTTTTTTATTTTTTCAGTTATAAAAAAACGAGATTTGTTATACCTATTAGTACAGGGTACGGGCTCCAAGGGGAACGACAGTTTGTATTGAAATGACATTTTGTGAGCATATGTATGTTAATTCGCAGCACTTTTTAAAAATATAGAGAGTTCTATAGGGTGTCCCCAAAAAAGAAGTTTAGTAGTAGGTAGCTACTAAACTACTTCACTATTAGTGGGTGAATGTAGTGTGCTAGTGGTTTATCTAGTCTGGGTTTTTATGGGGATATGTTAAAGACAGTGTTTAAAAAACTCGATCAGCTATTTTGTCGACAACATGAGAGAAATTATTGTAGCTGCTTTTCGAGGTAGAACTCCACATAAACCTTTTAAAATGAAAAGACCCTTTTGAAAAGACATTGATCATGAAATCAGTTTATGCAGTTAACAGGAAAGGAAGCATTTTGAGCATTTGATTTTATCTAGCTAATTTTTGTCACATAATTATAGGTTTATATCTAGTTTTAAAGGTGTATCTTTTTATTACTGTTGAGTTATTTACTCTACAATCTTTAATTTTTGTTAAATTAACAAAAGGTACATACAGGGTGTCCCAGGCTGAGCGTGCATTAGAAGTTTCTAGAGAACTACAACATCTAGCTCGGAGATTTTTTGCACATCATAGTTTCACAACGAGATCTATTGATTAAAAATGTACTTAAATTCTCTGTAAAATTTTATGAATTTTGATATTAAACACTCTATATCTAACATTAACCGTTTTTGAGAAAAAAAAATATTTAAAATTTTTGAACGAAAAAAACTGCCTACCAAAAATATGTGTATAGCCTAAACGTCAAATTTAGTGATTACCACAGCCACTGGCCATAAAGAGAAAACATGTGGCTATCTATTTCAAAAATTAAATTGTTCGAATGTCATATATTAATGGCTGCAGCTGTCATAGAATTGAGCGATTAAAAAATTATCATAAATCATTTTTTTCAAATGGAAACCCACTTTTTTTATTTCACTAGTGAAAAGGCTTTTCAATTCGTTACTTTTTAACTATACATGTTCCTATACCTAAAATAAATCGTTTTTAAGTTATTTATGATTTAGTTTTAAAGCGTATAAGTAGAGGGAGATGGCCGATTCTACGCCAGGAGGATCAGGCGCACTGCGCATGCGCGTAAATCAGGTAAGAACGGTTAAAGTACGCTAATAAACAAGAATAAACAGGTTTGAACAGCTTTAAAACAGAAATAAACGGGTATGAACAAAAAATGAACAGGTCTGTTGTTTTAAGCTAAAAGGCGGTTCAAAGCAGTTCAAAAGCGGTTCAAAGCTGTTCAAACCTGTTTATTCTTGTTTATTAGCATACTTTAACCGTTCCTACCTGATTTACGCACATGCGCAGTGCGCCTGATCCTCTGATCCTCCTGATCCTCCTGGCGTAGAATCGGCCATCTCCCTCTACTCGTATATTTTTCTTGATTTTAACCAGTAGCCTATGACTTTAAACGTCAAGTGATGTAAAACAATAGATCTGGCCATGTCATATTGTGACGCTTTGTTCAAAAAGGCAGCATCATTTTCGAGCCAACTTCGTGCTGTTTTCTTTTCGATCATACGGAATATTATTAATAATATCAACTATTAGATATCACTAAAGAGCGAAAATACGAGATATATTTTTATAAATACACTTTTTAAACTATTAAGGTAGGCAGTATTTATACTATAGGAAATTTAAATAATTTGTTTTCTGACAGATGGAAATAAATTGTCTGACCGTTTGACACTTAATGTCAAAGGAAGCTAGATAAAATCAATAAAAATATACGTTTTCAAACTCAATCTTAAATAAATTAAAAACTATTTATTTTAGGTATAGGAACATGTATAGTTAAAAAGTAACGAATTGAAAAACTGTTTCATTAGTGAAATAAAAAAAGTGGGTTTCCATTTGAAAAAAATGATTTATGATAATTTTTTAATCACTAAATTCCATGACAGCTACCGCCATTATTATATGATATTTGAACAATTTAATTTTTGAAATAGATAGCCACATGTCTTCATTTTATGTTACAGAGGCCGTGGTAATTACTAAATGTGACTTTTAGGCTATACAATTTTTTTTGACAGGTAGTTTTAGTTACAAATATTTCTTTTTTATTTGGCAAATTATTGTGAAGGTATAAGCGAAGCCTGCGAGTGATCGAGTAATGAACAGCAATCAAGTCATACTCCGCGAATACTATTCTTAGTCCAACTAATTATTTTGTACATGATCATTCCAATTCAGAAAAAAATCACCATCCTTTCCAAACCACTTAAATTCTTATAAACAAAAAAAAACTTGACATCGAATTTGACAATAAGACTTAAGTCTAAACCCAGCTACGCCCATGGTTGTCATACGTACATAACTTAATGACCTTGAACACTCTGTATTTTTGAATATCACTTCCAAAAATTCACCACGCATTCACGCACACGCTCGCAAGCGTTCATAGAATAAATTACTTACTAATTTTATTTATAAGTTTTACGTTACAACGACACAGGTGTAGCTAAAAGTTCATTCACTCGTTACAGCAACTTTCAATTTTCCTATGTCCGAATAATGGGAACATATAGTCCAATCATTTCTCAAAAAGTAAAAATAAACAAGTTTAGTTGTCATGTAGCGCGAAGCTTTGATGTAATGTTTACATTGTTCGACGAAGCGTTTACAAAGACCAGGGATTTGGCACAGATTTTCCAGTAATTTTTTATAGGAAAAAGCCAGACTAGTAGTACAGTCAATCTGGCATTTTAACTCCCATCAAATTACCTCCGTTCCCATATTTTTTCAGTCGTAAGTAGTCCACTGAAAAAGCTTAAATTCCAAAATTCCACTGTTTTTGAGAAATTCAAAAAAAATTGGATTCGATTTTCTGGCTGAACCGTAGGTCCCACAGAAAATTTTATGGAATAAAAAATGAAGAGAATTAAATTCTTTGCATTTTCACACTAATAACAAACCTCTAAAACATACGAGGACAAAGTTAGAGGGCGCCAAAGTCACTGAAACGCAGTTTTTTGCGAAGTTTTTTTTTCCCGAGGTGAGTTTCTCAAAAAACGCCACCTTCAGCGCATCTAAAAATATCTCAAATCGATCAGAGAATGTTGTAACGATCCTCAGTTCGTGTGAACATCGTAATCCGCGAAGGTAACTTGCAGTACCCTATCGACCGTCATTGATTTCATGAAAGTTGCATACACATTGTGGGAATGAATGCAATATATCTCGTAAACAGTAAAAGTAAAACGTAAAAAAAAGTTACACATCAATTTGATAGGTTTTTTATGCTTAACATGGTAACCATGAATTAGAAAGGTTGTTTAATAAAACTAAACCTACGAAAGCCACTTCATTTTTTTCCATAGCAACTGTTAAAATTGCCTTATACGAGGCATGTTTTTTAAGTAAGTACCGTTTTGGAATTAAAAAAAAACGTGCAAAGATATCGCAATAATTTTATTTTTACATGAAAGCCTGTACCTTAATCTGCTTTTCTACATAATTTCCGTGATAGCCTCCGTAGCACTTGTCATAACGTGGCACCAGTTTTTCAATACCCTCCTCATAAAATTCTGCCGCCTGACTGGTTAACCACTGTATCACAACTATTTTCACTTCGCTATCGTCTTGAAGACGCTGACCGCCCAGGTGTTTCTTCAGGTGCAGGAATAAATGGTAGTCACTGGGCGCCAGATCAGGGCTGTATGGAGGATGATCTAGAGTTTCCCATTTAAAAGATTTGATGAGATCTTTGGTCCGATTAGCCACATGTCGACGGGCATTGTCATGCAGCAAAACAATACCCTTACTCAACTTGCCACGTCTTTGTTTTGGATTGCACGGCGCAGATTGTTCAATGTCTCACAATAAGATGCTGCCTTGACTGTCTCATTACGAGGCAGAAACTCCACTAGCAATACTCCTTTTCTGTCCCAAAAAACTGCACATGATTCTCCGGGCAGAAATTGTTTGCTTAAACTTCACTGTTTTGGGTGATGATGAATGTCGCCATTCCATGGACTGTTGTTTCGATTCTGGTGTTTCGTAGGCCACCCATGTTTCGTCACCAGTAACAATTTTGTCTAAAAAATCTTCACCTTCATTGTGGTACTGCTCAAGGAAAGTCAATGCACTGCCTAAACGTTGGGTTTTGTGCAAATCCATCAACATTTTCGGAACCCAACGTGAACACAATTTCCGGTAATTCAAGTTCTCGGTCACAATGCGATACAAAACACTACGAGAACATTGAGGAAAGTAGTCGCACAATGATGAAATTGTAAAGCGTCTGTTTTCTTTCACCTCTTTGTCCACTTTCTGCACCGAATCTTCATTAACGACCGAAGGACGCCCACTCCGTTCTTCATCATGCACATTTGTGCGGCCATCTTTAAATGCTCTCACCCTTTTCCTTACCATTCCATCACTCATAATGGTTTGTCCGTAAACTTCACAGATCTCACGATGAATATCGATCGGTTTTACGCCTTTAGCACTAAGAAATCGTATGACAGCCCGTACTTCACAATCGGCGGGGCTCACGATTGTCGGAGGCATCTTAAACACTCAATAAACAACATATACAATGAAGAATCAGATGTACTGGCGTCTGTAGAGGTGGGTTGTGAAATCGCAGTCCGCTACTTTTGTCACAGCTCCACCAACGTCACAATGCATGTGACTGCTCCAGTTCCAAGAAAATCGCAGTGACATTTCGGAGCAGTTTACAAGTTTAGGACATCTGCGCT